CCTAATAATAATAATGAAATGGAGAGGGCACAAGTTTGAAGTCAGGGCCTTGAACGATGTGTGCTCCGACAGTCATGTGGTGAATCCACCCACTCAAATGCCGGCTATCAAAAACACATACATACAAACGCGAGCGAAGGGCAAGCCCTCTGCCAACTGAAAAAACAAACACTTTTAGTTCATGCCATCTGCTCAGTTTATAAGAATGTGGCTTTTAAAGACTCATCAAAAGCAGTGTCTAAGAACCAGAGGTTAAAAAGAAAAGGAAAACAACATAGAATGTGAGAGTCAGGAGGGAAGCTGTCAGATTAGCATCAGAGCGCTTTTCGGGGAGACGCGGCTCCTCCTGTGCCTGCCACAGGCGACCTGCTCCATTTTTACCTCTTCTGGTCAGCACTGCCAGCACTGGAAGGTGGAGCCAGCGAAGGCAGCTGCAAAATTCCTGCGAGGATTACAGCACTGCCCTCCTCTTCCTTCCCCGTTTACCAAGACTTCGGGATAGCTTTACAGCACGCTGATAAGGACTCTGGACAGGGGAACCTCAGCGCACGAAGGCAGACTTACCAGTGAAAACTTAGTTTGTGGGCAGTTTTTACAATTTCTCCTAGCAAATCTCAATCTTCATAGTTGTTTTTAAATTTGAAGTAGGATCCAGAATAAAACACAATCACCCAATGCCGTTATTTATCATGTAAGTAATAATTAGCAGTTTAAAAGCCAGAAAGTCATCTGCTCAGGAGCTCTGGAGATGAGAGCTAAAGATGTTCTTTCAAAGACTTAGCCAATAACAACAACAACAACAAAAAATCATGGTTTTCAGAAAAGTAACTTCAAAAAAAAAGAAAAAAGAAAAGTAACTTCAAATGCATGTGATTTATTAGCTGAAATACTTCTTCAACCTAAAGCTCTACTTAAAAGATTTGCTTTCTGCTATTCTTTACAACTGCTCTGGACTTCATCAATAGGCCCAGCTGTTGAACAGGGAGCAGTACTAACAACCCCGGGCAGCAACTGGCCTGTGCAGCCACCAGAGAGAGCTGAGAAGGCCGAGCCCCTCCCACTCCCTGCGAAGCTGGACAAAAACAAAGTAAATACATACGTTCAGCTTAAAGACAAACAAAATTCTACCCAGTGATGGAGCCTGCTTGCTCAAAGAAGCCAACAACTCTGAAAGGAGTAAGAGGTGGGTGATAGTGCCCCGAGAGACGCCATCGCACACAGCAAGGTGCGGGGTGGCTCCACACCCTGGAGGGCGCAGGCCCCGGGAAAACAGGCGGACAGACTGACAGCAGGCAGACTCTAAGAACTAAGCGGGCTGGATGTAAGCCCGTGGAGCCAGCGTGCACCTTTTGCTTCCTTGACATGAGTGATTTTAAGTTACGCAGGTACTTCCAAACCACACTGTCCCTCATGGTGGCGGCTTTTCTTGGATCCCACAAAGTGTCCACTGAACTTCGTGGCAGTGTTGAAGACTGGTCTCTCTAAACCCCTCGGTTCTGCTTCCAAACTCAAGACTTCCTTCTGTGCCAGCCGCTGGGACACGTGACCACTACCAGCTTAATTTGGGGCAAACAACCCAAACATGTGAGAGACTGTCCTTTCCTGCAGTGACTAAACAGAGACCCTACAGCACAACTGCCTGCTCTAGGTCCATGACCTTTAATACAAATCTACAAATCTAGGCTAGGGTCTCCTAGTTCTTATTACTCTTTGCAACATACTACTGCTTCCCTAGCCATGTTTCTCTATCTCCCTCCCTCCCTCCCTCCCTCCCTCCCTCCTTCCTTCCTTCCTTCCTTCCTTCCTTCCTTTTCTTAAGGCAGGGTCTTGCTGTGTAATTCACACTGGCCTGGAACTCACTGTGTAGCCCAGGCTGGCCTCCAAATCGAGCAATCCTCTTGCCTCAGCCTCCCATGAGCTGGATTACAGGTATCTGCTACCATGCACAGCCCCCCCCCCCCACACTTTTAAAACATGACTAAAAACATTTTTAATGTATTTTAATATCAAATTTCAAAATCAGCTCTGGATTATACTTTAGAAATTCGCTCTTCAGGGCAGAAATCCATACCCACAAAAGAGCTGTTCACTAAACCCTGAAGTTTCAATTTAACTTAATTAAGTGAAAAGCTTTTCATGCAAAATAATCTATCCTACTAATGGAAAATATTTAAAGTTACTGTAGAAAATAAAGTTATTACAGAAATGTACCTCTTAAACAATTTGACTGATGCCAAAATTAACCGAAAAATTTTGAAAGAACATAGCACCAGAATGTTACAATAATTCTGATGCCCTTTCTGCTGCTAATGTTCGTGTACAACCTATTTTTTGCCCAAGTGAACTATTCCTGACAAACTAAGAAGTCGGGCTGCCTTTGTGCTCCTCTTCCCTCTGTCCTAAGACTTCAATTTCCACCTTTTATGGAAAGGAAATAAACAACGGGCTTCCTGCTCAATCGCGGCTTGCAGCCCTTTTACACATCACAGAGCCCAGCCCACCACCTCCTCCTCACTGTTTCTCTCAAATGTCTCTTATCTTAATTTAAACTTGCTGAAACCCGAGACCGTTTTTAGCACACTAATGTTTTCCCATGAAACGTACTTATTTCAACATTAAGAAAAAAGAGTCAAGTTGTCCAGTTCTTTATTCCTAAAATATCTGAACTAATTTATTTATATAACAGAGAATCCTTGTTAAACTTGCTAAACTTGTAAACGATTTCCATTTAAAGGGAACAGCTCCATACTTTGTTCTTACAGTGTATGCGCCTAGAAAAGGGGAGTCCACAGCTACCCCTGCCTGTTCTAATGACATTAAAACGCAAAACAGCTAAAATGGCAATCAATGAAAAGGATTAACCTTTCTTTAAAGCTAAATATTACTTTAACCTTGTATTTTCTCTTAAAGATGGGACGCCTTAGCAAAACCTAAGTGGATGGGCTCTTTTGTGCTCAGATGAAAAACAGGCAGCGGGCTCAGCCGGGAGGAGCCTCGCTGCCACGTAGGGCTGTGACTCGCCAGGAGATCCGGCTCCAGGGTGACACTCGAGGGAAGGCCCGCTCACGTCTGCAGTCTGCATTCCTCGAGAACAATTCGTGGCAATAACCGACTTCGCAGAGGAGCCACATGAAAGAGGGGGCCAATGAATGAGGGTCATCTGCTCTTTATCACAAGGGTAAACCTCATCCTGGCCAGTTTCTAACCTTTTAACCCTGTGAATTCCTAATTTACACATGAATAATGGAATTCTTGCCCAGAGTACAACTTTCAGCTTCTAGTTCCTAAGTTTAGAGACCAAGACTTGATTGCCTGGGTGTTAAAAATCTACAGTTTGCAGATTGAAATTTTAGATTTCAGGTATGTGCTGGTACATTCTACTCCAAAAGAGATGCTTGTTTACATCTCTGAAAAAATAAAAGAACATACTTTAGCCTGCTGTTATCAATGACTAGAAGAGCTAGCTTTTAAAAGCCCCACACCAGAATGTCCACTTAACGCCTATTCTCTTCCTGTTTACGCCAGATAACATCTTTACCCTGAAGATAGAAGAAAGGGCTTGGAGCCCTCATCTCAAGGAACTGCCTCTCAGCTCTGAGCCAGTTGTATCAATCCACAATCCCAGAAACTCGTATTTCTAAAAAAGCTAAGCCCCTGTGCATTTCTACCTTAAATCAGTAATACTGACTGGGTTTTCCCAGCACAAGACCCCCCTAGGGCTAAATAAAATGTGGGCAGTTTGTAGTTAACAGCAAAGCAATGTTTTAGGGTTTCAATGTGAAGTATGAAAATCCTTCACCACTATACACTTCAAAATGACTTCCATCTATTTAAGCATTTATCATAAATTTTCATAAACAAAAATCCAAGAATTGATTTTTCAAGCTAGTACTTTCGTATGTGTGTGTGCTGGGTCTTTCACATGATAAGCACATACGAGGTTCTACGTTTGCTTGGTAAATGTATCATCACACACCTTTCAGGCTTTATGTATGAAAAATCAGAAAGCTGCGGATGCTTTCAAAAGAGTTTAAGCAAGCCCAAGGATTCTTCTCCGGAGGTCCCGGAAACAACATGTGCCGTGACAAATGCTTCATCTTTTCAAGGCCTGCCCGTCCCATCCCCCTCCCTGGCTGGCCCGCAGCCCCTCCCCCCAGGGGCCTCGAAGTTACAGTTCCTGGGCAGAAAACACCAGGCACCCCAGCCTGGAAAAGTGGAAGGGAAAGCTGGAACTGGAGAGCACCTTCACTCTAGACAAAAATTAAATGAACAGAACTTAAAGATCAAAGGCACACTGTCCTGAAGAGTTCTGGGCTGGAAAGCCATCGCGGAGTGGAAAGCAGTGTTTATCAGCCAATGATTACATCAATGAGAAAGAAGAAAAAGCAAGATTTTCTAGAAATCCTTCCAGTTTACATATTCTTTGGCAGAAATGGTGGTGGGGCTTCAATTGGAAATTTCTCTGAGATCTCTGCTTGTGGCCGGGAAGATGGCTCAGTGGAATAAGCCCTTCCCTGGCAAGCGCAAAGGCCCAAATTCAATCCCTGGTTCCACCCAAAAAAAAAAAAAAAAAAAAAAGCACAGTGTGAAATCTCTGCTTGTAGTTTATCTTCTCCAATTAATCATTATTGTACCAATGAAACAAATTACTAATATGAGAGTGGCATAATTATGTCTTGAACTGGTACAATAAAGTCATAGGTGAGATTTCTGCCAATAGCCCAAGTTTCCATTGTTCACCTCTTGAAGAAACTATTCCTTAAAGATTATGCCTTTTTATTTCACGCACTCCCTTTTCCTGTTTTCATGTGTTGATCAATTTGTAGGGACAATGCAAAATCTATCTTTTGTGAATTAACAAAAGCATGCAGTGAGGATGCCTAGAAAGCCTCTGTAAGATACTCTGTTTTGTCTGTCAACACCTAAGTAACCTGCCAAAGACAGGTGCAGTGTGCAACCCCCTGAGAGGGCCACCTCAGCAGAAGCCAGCAGCTCCTCACCTGGCCCCCACGCAGTACCTCCTCACAGGGCCTCGACTGGCTGTTAGCACAAAGGGACTTGTTGGACAGCAAACCGGATGGTAAGCTGGGGAAGAGGAGCAGCCTGGTTTAAGTCCAGCAGGCACAATGTGGAGAGGCCATAATCGGGGCTCTCCCAGAAGGAAGAGGCTGGAGAGTGGTGGTTGAGGCCCTTTGCAATCAGAAAGCAACCTGTGTGGCCTAAAAGCAGCTGGAGAAACGTGGGGCTGGGCTCGGAGAAAGACCTAGACCAGGGTCGCCTACAAAGCGGGATTTACCTGCGATTGCTTTCATGACTGATTTCCAAAAGACGAGACTGCAGGACAGCTGCTGTTGTGTTAGCTAAACCTTTCTAGGGTGCGGCCCGAACTTTATGTGAAGCTACTTCTACGGGTTTTGTTTCGCTTGGTTTTCCTAACTCCTTTTGACTCTGTGTCATTCATCTCACCTTAATCTGTCCTCCTCTCCACATGCCTCCATCAATAGCTATCCCAGGAAAGCTGTTAACCTGCGTGATTTTACAGTTATGCTCTTCATATCAAGAAATCACCAAATGCTTCCCTGGAAAACGTTGAGACTACTACCACCACACTTACTTGATAAGGTGAGGTGTGCTTTTTGGCTCAAGATGGCTCCGTATTTGTTCACTGCCAAGCACTGATAGAACCCTTCATCAGACTGGGCCCGCCGGCCTTCCACCTCGCTGATGTACAGAGAGCCGTTAGAAAGAACCTGGATCCGTTTATTTTCAGACATTTTTGCTCCATTTTTCAACCATGTGACCGTAATAGGAACTTCGCCATGAGCCTGGCAATCTAAGAAGACTGGGTCCTTTCTTGTGACAGTTACATCCTGTGGTTCTCTTATAAAAAACAGTTCAGTAAAACACCACACACCTACAGGAAGAAAGGGAGAAAGGTATATCTAGAATCACAGGTGTGAAGTTACTTCTTATACAAATATAATCGCACATCCAAGTGAAGGATGCCATCTAACCCTCTGTACTAGTTTAACTTACAGAAATTCCGGTAAGCCTTTGCCACAAGGTAGAGAAGTCACCTTTTACCACATCCACGTCAAAAGCAGAGTTTAAACAACTTCTAGCCCTTGTAAGAATTCTCAAGTTCCCTGCTAGTTTCAAAATCTTCAGGAAAACTCATGAGCACAAGCAGTTTGCTACTTTTACAAGCTTGTCAAAAAGATCTTGAACAGAGTAAGTCGTAAAAGTCTAATTTTACAAGAAATCATTAGCAAAGCTCCAACAAGCATGTTACTTCCTCTTGCCTTGAAGTGTTTCTGGAGCCCCGAGCACCTACTTTTTCGGAAAGTGTGTTATCTTTTGTGACAAATTACAAATTTGCATTTTTCTAGCTGTCCTTTTACAGCTGGGGGGGGGGGGTCTGGTTCTTCGCATTACCAGCTAGGTATTTAAAGGGCAAACAACAGACTGAAAAGTTGATAACTCTTGCTTGTACTCAGTGGGCGATCGAGGCCATCGGATTAGGAAACTTTTATTTCACTTTTTTAGAACTACCAACTGTTGGATAAACGCGTGACTAATCGGTCCTTACTGTCTAACTGGGACAGGAGATTGCTTAATCAACCAACACACATTTTCATCAGAACAGAGGACATGCTTTAAGCCAAGCACATCCACAGCCTTGGCACCCTCCCAAAGATAAAAGGATCCGAGAACAAACCGAGGCAGGTTTGGTCCTGCGCTCCGAGCAGAGCAGCAGTCCTGCCTCGACGGGTCGTGGAGAGCAGGCTTGGGGTCCTTCCCCGCCGCCTTGCACCCACGACTACAAATCCCAGGAGCAGCTTCTGTTTCGGGTCCTAGGACCCCTCGACGCGAGCGGAAGCACCTGACCGCGGTCCTCTCTGCCCGGGGCCGGCGCAGGGACGCGTCAATACGCGGGAGCCAGGAACACAGCGGGCTCTAGGGCGCTGCGCGACGCAACGCGCACCCCGCGCTCTGCGCACCCCAGACCCCCAGCCCGCGCCCCTGCGCCCGCGCTCAGCGCCATCGGGC